TATGTATCAATTGTTCAGCCGAGGAACTACAATTTGAGGAAATTATCTGGCATAATTTCGAACGCAAAACGAAGAATGGAACGATACGAAAGGTATAATTTGTTTAATAAAGGAATTATATTAAATTGTATTGTTTTCTGGAATATTATTTTGCCATGTTTATTTATATGAAGGGGTTGACATTTTGATTATATTTTACTAATTTTAGTCAAATCATCAGACATTTGGCAACATGTTAAGTGAATTGATTTATAAAAGGAAAAGATCTTTCTGTTGAAGCAACCATTTCAATAAGTGAGGAGAGATAACAACTTGAAAATATCAACTACAGAAATTTGATTACTACAAAAGCCTACAAAAATCAAGATTTTGTTGGCATCTTAAACCTGGTTTACATATGCCTGCATTATCATTGTTTACAGCTGTTGATGCATACATTCTTTTGTGAATTATTTAGTTGAACTTTTAACGACAATAGCCCATCAACAAACAGCAGGTATATGTGAACCAGGCTTCACTTGGTTAAATAGTTAATTGGAACTCACCCCCTTAATTAATATCATGTGAATATGCTAAACCCATTAATAAGTTGCATTGTGACACATGTAACAACCTCTTTCTAATATAGTATATGCCTAGTTGTGTTACACATACTGGCCACATGACATCCATGATTTGATAAATAAAGAAATTTATGATGTATCTGCATATTCTCTAATTATATGTATCTCCCTTGTTCATGTTTAAATAAAATTGCTCTTGACATATATTTGGTTTAAATATAATAAATCTAGATTGGCATGTATCATGTAAGAGCCTACAATGCCAGGGGCCCACAACAAGTTCTTGTTGTCTCATTGCTTGCCGGCACGCCCCTGCTTTTACTCTGTCTAACATCAGACAATTTTACTATTCCAGGGGAGAGTACAAAGAATGGGCTAATCTAAAGCTTCACAGCTTACAATTAATATGTACCCACCATTGAAAGACTTTTGGGTGGTTAATGTAACAATTAATAGCAAAACATGCAGGGATGGATTTACTGGGGGGAGGGTGCACACCCCCCTCCCTAGCCCTGGCCAAAGGGTATGTGTGTGCTATTTTTCATGATAAAGCAAAAAATATTACAGACAAAATGAGATATTGTACACAGTACACTTGTACCACATGGAAGTTGTTTTGCCAAATTCTCAGAATACCGCTGTTGCTGTATGTTAATGGGCGGGCTGCACACATGACAACACAACTCGAGTCACTCGACACCAGAGCTGGCAGAGCACCCCCCACCAGATCATGCTGGATCCATCCCTGAAAACACGTCTATCACCGGGAAGTTTCGTCAGTGACTGTTTGTATGGTTATAGGGAAATTTGCCTTGCAAAATGGATTTTACCCATGTAAATATTTTGTCTGTGAACTTTGGCAAGCAAAATGGAATGTATGTAATGCCTCCATTGGTTAATTAACAAATCCAAGGCAAATGTTATTAAGACAGGTCTTCATACATGTTGCACCACATGGAAAACTATTAGATTCTTATTAAATTCCAGTTGTCCTTTCCCTTATGTCTGCATTACTCACACCCATATATAAAACAGGGCCACTGATTTAAGAAAGCTTTTGCTAATTTTCGTCACATCTGAGACACTCAAGTTTGAAAACTTTGTCTTTGTCCAAGGGATAAATTGCACAGTGTATTCCACAATAAGAAAGCTATTTGTTTAAGACTTTTATTAATGATTTCCTTCCATACAAGCGTATTAAAACAAAGCAAGAGGTGTTTACATATTTAATACGCAGTCACAGATGTCAACAGTTGAATTTACATTTATATATTGACAATTTTCGATCGTTCCTTTTCGTGTTACAATTTCGACTAAATCACTGCACTTTCAGCTTATTATGATATAAAATGTCGTCAACAATTTGAATAGAAATTTGGATATATCGACGATAAACTTTCAATTGAAACCTTGTCTTGACAAATGTCTTGACATGAATCGTCTCTAAACAATCGTCTCTAAACAATCCCAGTAAATCGCTGCGTCGGCTTTCGATAACGTTCTCAGCTCCTTAGTCAAAGTTCCCTTTGTATTTGCAATGTTGAAGAGCAGGATTATTCGTTAATTTTACAGTTTTACTCGTCTTGTAAGCCATCGTGTTGAAAACAAAATTTTCTTCACTCCTTGCCGTAAGCCCTTCTTACTCCCCCTAAGTTTGAGTTTGTCGAAATTTGCATGCGCGAGCCAGTATGCGCAGTGCAAATTTTTGTGTCGATTTATGGCAGGCATCATCTCACCAAACTTTTTCCAACCACCCGATTCGTCGGGTGAGATGCCTGCGGAGGAGGCTAATACCGAATATTCTCAATTGAGAACATATGGGTAATACCCGTTGAGGTGTATGCTAAACGGGTGATCTAGCATTTTGCCAAAATTATTCATGGCTCATAATTCAATGTTATAAAACATTTTAATGTCACACCCCAGAACCATTACTCTTATATCATTTTATAATTTATAAATTTAATAGATTTCCTTTCTTTATTTGCATTTCGCAAACAGGCAAGTTCTGCACCTCAAAGAACCAAGTGTTTCAAAATGGTTTCACATTATGAAAAATTTATTATAACTTAAGGAATAGAGCTTTATAATTTAGGAATCAAAACCGTGAAGTCTTTAGGATAAAGAGCATGATAAAGACATGTCATACATAGCTGCCCCAGAAATGGTTGAATCATGAAATACAATAGCCCCTGCAGGCTCCTGGCTTGGTTTGTTTACAGTAGACAAGCGGTCCAGACGTGGTTAGAGTCGTATTAGTATCAGTATGTAGCAAATATATAGTTATAGAATATATTCCACGCAGTAAAATTTGTTATGAATTGTATATTTTAAAATTATATTTACTTGCCTAATTTGAGAATATGTGATCGAGTGTGTGATTTATTTCTGGACGGCTTTACACTCTACAAGTATTCCCGTTCTGAAACCAGCGACAACAACAACTCGAAAAATATACCCTTTAATTAAATTGCTTTGTTCCCGGAAAAAAATCGCCATTGTATAGAATTAAACACTCATTTTCGAACATACAAGTCAATTTTAACATGTTCTATAATTTTTGGAATGGATTTTTAACAAAATGTTTCGAAACCCATGCCAACTCTATGCATGGAACTTTGAAAACCCGATGATTATTACCGCGCCTGCCTAGCGACCTAGTCGCCTTTACCGTTTGGATTGTCAGGTGCATGGGATGCAAACACCAAACACCTATAATATCCGGCAACAGTCAGTCAATCAGCGCCGCGATAGCGGCTATTTTAAAACTGATATTGTAATTTATATATATATATATATATATATATATATATATATATATATATATATATATATATATATATATATATATATATATATATATATATATATATGTTAAGTTGTGTAATTGTACACTCCGTAATATGTTAAGAGGAAAATGTTCTAGAGTGTGTATTATATAATTTCCATACCCAGCGCAAGCAGAAAGATGTTGTCTGCCGCGGGTTCAAGACCCAGCCGCGGCAGACAACATCTTAATTTCTGCTTGCGCTGGGTATGGACATTATATAATACACACTCTAAAACACTTTCATCTTAATATATATATATATATATATATATATGTATATATATATATATATATATATATATATATATATATATATATATATATATATATATATATATATATATATATATATATATATATATATATTATTGATGTAGTTGTATTATTTCGTGAACACATCTAACAAATCTAGACAACTTGCTTTGTTTACATTTTGTTGATTTTGCAAGCGGGCAAAACTCTTGATTCACGAATTATATTTAGGCCCTATTCAAATATCAACTTTTTCGTGAATACTTATCAATCAAAATAGGACAGGTTCACTTTGCCTACGGAGTTTCACTTTTTAAATCACATAAACCCGTATTTACCCATGCACCTTTTCACAAATTTACGGCACGTCCTGACGCGGATATGACACCAAAATTCAAAGCAAACAGGCACCACTATTGATCCTGGACGAGGTGTTTTGCTCACAATAATTTCCAATCGCCACTGCATTGGCAAATGACAAAGCGAATAGATTCTCCTCGATTAGTTTTACCAACAGCCTACCGCAGTTCCTTGCTGTTGATAACCAATTGTAAAGAATATAGTTCCATTTAAATTGCAATCGAGATATCGAAGGAATTTCCAGAAATATTCAATTTATATTCGATTTTATCAAGAATTATAGTAATTCATATGTATTTTGTTTTGTCGTGTTTCCGAAATGACGTCACTCCGACGCTAAAAGGCATCCCCGCCCCAGTACTTTTATGCTCATGGTAACACGAAAAATCGCCAACTTTGAACGCCAAAAATCCATGAAGATCAAATTTTCGGATTTGCTACTGAATTGGGCTATAGACGGGTAAATAAAATACGAAAAAGGGAAAATCATGGAACTCGTAAATTATCAATCGCTTTTTACACAAAACTAAAACGGCTTGAAGGACGTAGCACCAGTAACTTGCAAATTCATCGTGCTTTTCACGCAAGGAGGTCGAGGGTTTGAGTATGAAAGAACCGGACCTTAATTAATTGAGTAGCTCTGTATATCGCCCTAATTCGAACGTCGAAAAATAATAGCGTTCACTTTATTCACTGTTCGACTAAAGCATAGCGCGTTACTATGAAGTGACAAAGAGGAGAATAAAGTCAAGTCATGCGTAAAATAAGCTATATATACGGTTTCGTTTCAAGAATTTCTGAACCTTCTGCGCAAGTACAGCGTAACGTAAGTATCTTAAATGGGAAATTGCATTTCGCGGTATCAAATGTCAACTAATGTTGTTGAGTTCCGCAAGTGTAGTAATTTGTACGCACCTGCAGAATAATATCCAACACGTAACTTGTAGTTTCCATCTTCTGAACCAACTTCAAAAATATCATATTGGGCATATCGATATTGTCCTTCAAAATCAGCCAAGTCTATCCTGAGAACATTGTGACCAATATTACTTAATCGATGAATCTTATCTAATCCGAGCCAGTATTCACCATCCATTTGTCCAAAACCATGTTTGTAGTCGTTCCATCCTCTGTAGAAATCAACACTGCCATCTAAGCGTCTTTGAAATATTGTCCAACCACCACCGGCTGTGGTCATGTCACATCTTACTTGAATACTTCTTTGGTTGTCAGGATTGACTGAGTAAATGCCGTCTTTTCTTGCTCCGTTTTTGTACAAGTCTGCACAGTTTTTATTTACTGTCAGTGAAAGAAAGCGGAGTATATATATATATATATATATATATATATATATATATATATATATATATATATATATATATATATATATATATATATATATATATATATTAAGATGAAAATGTTCTAAACTGTGTATTATATAATTTCCATACACAGCGCAATTATATATAAATTATGAAATATATATGCTGAATTAATATAAACGAGTATGTTTATGACATTCAGTATATATTTCATAATTTCCAGTCTTAAATCCGTCTGACCGTGTAGCTCAGTTGGTAGAGCGTCGATCTAGTGATTTGAAGGTCGCGGGTTCGAGACCCAGACGCGGTAGGCAACATCTTTCTTCTTGCGCTGGGTATGGAAATTATATAATACACACTCTAGAACATTTTAATCTTAACATATTACGGAGGGTACAATTACACAACTTAACACGTTCGTGGTCTGGAGTCTTTGGGAATGACATCTGATCAATACGGGAGCTTTCTCATACCCATCATTATGTCTAAATTACCACCAGATTTTCATCTTCAGATCGCTCGAGTTACAACGAAAGATGTAAATGATGGCAAATCGAAGAATGAGTATTGAATGTATTGAAGAGTGAAGTGCAAGCAGGAGAGATGAGTAGTAATCTGAAGTTAAGAGATCCAGATACTCAACAAAGATAGAATGTACACAACGGGCGCATTTTTCGCAGGAGATCAAAATGGGGGCAATATACGTTGTGTGTTTTGTGATGCAGAACACTTTCCCGTCTCGTGTGAGAAGGTTAAAGATCCACAAGTTCGAAAAAATATTTTGAAGAGACAAGAACGTTGCTTTTTATATTTTATAAAGGGTCATCGAATAAACCAGTGCACCTCCAATAGACGATACCGGAAATGCCCAGGTAAGCATCATCAGTCAATCTGTGAATTTAATTCGAGTCAACCACCACGGGACCTAACGAGTCGACCACCAGAGAACAAACCTGTGGGAGATTCCACGACTGGAACTGTTGTCAGTGAATAGTCTAATGGTACAGCCACTACATCTGTAACAAGAAGTCAAACGAGAGTATTGATACAGACAGCAAGGTTAGTAGGGCTCCTAATGATAACAGTTAACATCGTAGCTGATTGGATTACTCTATTTAAATAAAAGTTTCCAATGAAGGTTCAAAAGTCAGAGTGCTCATTGATAGTGGAAGTCAAAGATCCTATGTCTTAACTGGTCTACCACAGAAGCTTAGTGTGAAACACCATCAAGAAAGAATCATTAAACCTCAATACCTTTGGTGATGCCTGTGTCTCGAAGGAAGAGTATGATTTGGTCCAATTAACGCCGCAAGGAAGAAATGGCCAAGATATAAAGATCGCAGCTCTGAGTTTTGGTAATATATGTTCGCCACTACCTAGTACAATAAACCTAGAAAGCTATTCTTCGTTTATAAAGTTGGATCTTGCCGACTGTAACACAGCTACCAATAGTCATGATGACATTCATGTTTTAATAGGATCGGACTACTATTGGGATGTTATAACCGGGAATTTCATTCGAGAGAGTAATGGACTGGCAGCAGTCAGCTGCAAGTTTGGTTGTTTGGTTTCTGGTCCAGTATAAAATACCAAGAATGGGGATAACCATGTCACATCCAAACTATTCCATATTAAATGATGAGCAACCATCCAATTTGACTGAACGTTTGGCACGTTTTTGGGACAGTGAGTCCATTTTTGGCATAGTTGATTACACTCAATCTGACCACCAAAGAAAAGAATTCTTGAAGGACATTGCATTTGACAGGACCGAAGGAAAATATCAAGTTAATCTTCCTTGCAAGGAGGAACAATATTTGAAAAATTCTAAGTTTGGGCTATGTGTATCTCGATTGTATCATCTGAACTCCCGTTTAAGTAAGGAAGGTCTGTTATTTGACGAAGAGAATAATGAAAATGTTCACTTCTTGCCTCATCACGGAACGAATTGATAAGTTTGAGAACAAGGTTGCCACGAATCAACAGAATGTTAATCAAGTAACGTCAGAACACAAATCATCGGAAGGTGAATTATCGAAGGTCAATCGCAATTAGCAGATATATCGCCTGAACTTAGAACAGCTGAGAAATTGCAAGAGAAATCATCAGAAGTGAAAATTATTGGTCTTAACTGGAATACGGAAAAGGACTGATTAAGTTTTGATGTTGTATAACTTATAGAATATCTGAAGTCATTACCACCTACAAAAAGATCAATATTGCATGCGTCCGCGAAAATATTTGATCCTATCGGATTAATCAGCCCAATAACGGTGAATCTAAAGATGTGGTTCCAGGAGCTGTGTTCCACCAAGATTGATTGGGACGAGGCCCTATAGAGAAAAAATGGTTGAAAAGGTGGACTTCCCTGGTGGGCGAAGTTAGTGTACTCTCTGAGTATTCCGCGATGTTATTTCCATACAATTCAGAAGGTACAGGGGAACTTCTCAGTTATGATATCCATGGATTTAGTGATGCATCAGAGAAAGCAGTAGCAGCGGTGGTTTACTTGCTGTCCAAGTATACAAACGGAACAATGCGTGTGCGTCTTATCGCCTCTGAAACGATCGACACCACTGAAAAAACAATCTATTCCTAGATTGTAACTTTTGGGAGCTTGCCTGCTGGCAGAGTTGGTTTTCTCTATTCGTTCTGTTCTAGAGTCTCGTGCATTGAAATTCGATGTGTATTATTGGGTGGATTCATTTACTCCTCTGTGCTGGATTAAGAACAACAAACCGTGGCGTCAGCATGCATAACATCTGGTCAACGAGATCAGACGATTATCGGCGAAGGAGAAGTGGAGATTTTGTCCAGGAGAGTTGAACCCGACTGACATTCCAATGCGAGGGTGTGCCGTAAAGGAACTAGTGAAGAAAAAATCATGGTGGAACGAACCTCAATTTTTGAAGGAGAATCCTGAATCGTGGCCAAAGTCAGCAACGACAAATGCCAACGAGCTGGCGGACAAGGAGTTGCTAAAACATCCACCTGTTGTTACTAGCTCACTTTCTTGTGTTTCGAAGAATGTATCCAACTTAGAAAATATCATCGACATCGAAAGATACGGTACTTAGATTAAGTTACTCCGAGTGACTGCAATTGTCATGAGATTCGTGAAACTACTGAAACGAAAGGCGAATGTTCCTACAAAGCATTTAACCGGGGACAAATTGCGGTCTGCAGAAATCGATTGGATTAAATCTCTTTCAAAACCGAACAAAATGCATTAATGAAAGGCGGTACTGCTTGCTTACACCATGCAGTTTGAACTACAGCTTGACACCAATGGATTAATTTGTTGCAAAGGACGGCTGCATAACGCCGAAGTTGCAGAACCTAGCAAGAACCCTATTATACTGCCGTCACGGTATAGAATTACCGAACTTTTAATTCGTGAACGGCATGAAGATATCCATCATCAAGGCATTCGTGATACATTGAACTCCATTCGACAACAATACTGGATATTGAAAGGCAGAGAGGTCGTAAAACGAGTTACTAGAAGATGTGTTGTATATAAAAAACACGAGGGGAAGTCGTTTTCCACGCAGCCAATGCCCGATCTTCCTAACAATCGTGTTGATGAGAGTCCACCGTTTACAAACACGGGAGAGGACTTCGCTGGTCCACTCTACGTTACTTGTGATTCGAAAACAAATGTCAAATGTTATTGTTGCTTGTTTACTTGTTCATCACCGCGTATTATCCACCTAGAACTTACTAGAGACTTGAGTGCATTATCATTTCTACAGGCGTTTAGGTGGTTCACAGCCCGTCGTGAACTACAGCGAAACTACAATCAGACAATGCAAAAACCTTTAAAGCATCGTCGGTAAGTATCAGGAAGATTATGCAAGCGGCCGAAGTCAAAACTGATCTGGCAAACAAGCAAGTAGTCGGGGAGTTTATCGCTGAGAAAGCCCCATGGTGAGGTGGATATTGGGAGCGTTTAGTGTGAAGTGTCAAGTCTGTAGGGCGATCTTCGTTGAACTTTGAGGAATTACGCACGTTAATGGTTGAATTCGAGTGCATCTTATTTAACAGCCCATATGACCTATGTGTACGCAGATGACGAAAGTCTATCTTATCCTCTTATGCCAGCGGACCTGGTGTACGGACTGCATATAGCAACGACACCAAATCAACGGTATTCAAATGTGTCCAGTACATACCAAACCTTGACGCGGAGAATAAAGTACCATTACAGATTGCTTCAAAACTTTATCCGACAATGGCGTAGAGAGTACCTTTTGGGATTACGCGAAAGTGCAAGAAAGAAGTCAAGTGTTGGACGAAATTCAAGTGATATATCAGTCGGCGAAGTAGTGATTCTAAAAAACGATTCTTCGGCTCGATGTTATTGGAAATTAGCTAGAATTACCGAGTTACTCGAAGGCAAAGATGGAGGAGTTCGAACAGCAAGGCTTACCGTTCTTACTGCGCTAGGACATGGAAAAACTACTGTATTACAGAGACCTATGTAATACAAGTTGAACATTAGAAGTTAGAACATTAAGATATTTAATATCCGTACGAGTATTAATATTCGTACGAACAGTTATAAGCAACATGAGCAAGGACTCTTTAATTTTAACATAATTACATTCAAATTTTGTTGGGCTTTTGATCACCTGACGGAGATCAACCCCCGGGAGTGTAACGTAAGCAATATTTTTGTCGCGATAATTTGGTGTTGTTATTGTCAGTATAATTTTCGCGGGTTTTAGAATAAACTAATTACATATTCGCAACAATCACCTTGTTGTTAGCGCCGCAGACAATTGTTATTTATAATAGAGAATTTGTAAATTCTGAACGCTGATTGGCTAAGAGCCGTGTTGATATAACTCAATGTCAACACGGGAAATTTTCCGCCGCTTGTAAACACAGAAATTTTTCTTATCCTTCGGGCTTTTGACATTGCTATATTATAAAAAATATAAAACATTTTTCCGTACTCGTGGAAGTCGGGAAAACTCGAAATTGTATGAAAACACTACGCCCTTCGGGCGTCGTGCACGTGTTTCCATACAATTTCTCGTTTTTCCAATTCCACTCGTGTTGATATGTATAGGATAATGCCCAAGCTCGAGGTATTATTAAAAATAATGACCGAGCGCGTAGCGCGAGGTCACTATTTTTAATAATACCGAGAGCGAGGGCATTACCCGACTTAATGCACATTATGGTGTTTATGAACAAAGAAAACTATTAAGATAGTTACAAGTTCATTGTTGTGGTACTATTATTTTTTACACCATATTTGTGTTTTGTATGCGCATTCCTGGGCTGTGTTTTTTCAACAGCTACCTTTTTATTACTTGATTGATATTTGTGGAGTGAGGATGTCTGGTTCGAGAAAGCGAGATTTTAGTTTGTTTGGAGAAGGATATGACGATGAATTTGAAGTTGAAAAGACCAATGATTGGGATTGCGACTGTCTAGATTTGGAAGACGATGGGCTGGATGGAATACTTTCCCAGTCATTGGATTTGTTTGCAGAGCGGAGAATTTCACTGGAAAGGCCAAATCAGATAGATGCAGTGTCAGTGAGCGGCGATGTAATGCACCTGGGAAAAGCACGTTGGATAGAAAAGGTGAAAATTGTCTTAGCTAAGTTTTGTTTAAAAGTTAGTAACAAGCATTAATCATAGCGATTAATATTTTTTATATTTTGCAATAGAGCAACAGAATACGTCTGACCGGTTTGAGATTTGCAGCAGTAAAAGTATGATAGAGTTGGCTTCGCGAAGCATCCCAGAAAATACTAAGAGGAAAGCGATGTGGGCATACAGAATGTTCGATGCTTGGTCACAATGGCGCCAGGAGATCTCTCAAGATGGAAGGGAAATGTGTTTGGTTGATAAAATTCTCTTGGTTTACAAGTCAGAAATACATATGATGCCAGAAGTTGACCTCAAAGAAGTATTACATCAGTTCATCGCAGAAGTAAGAAAAGACGGTGGAGAAAGGTATCCTGGAAAAACACTGTATGAAATAATCAGTAGTTTGCAAAAATACCTAGAGTTAAAAGGGCGAATGGAATGGAAATTTTTGTAGTGTAATTAAAATTTGCTTTAAAGCAAAGTTGTAACGCACAATGGTTTATTTTTTATTCAAGCGAAAAATCGGGGTCATTATTTTAAATATTGGAGGTCATTATTAAAAATAATAACCTCCTGACATTAAATAATGACGTTGCATTAACTTGCGCATGTCGATTCTTGAAAATAATAACCTGTTCAAAACAATGAAAATGTGCATTAAAACTGTATATCAACACCAAAAATGTTTTATATATGTTAACCATAAACCAGAAATACATGCATGCAGCAACCCCTCGCATGTATTTTCCAAACATTGATTTAACATGAAGTACTAATAATTGATCGACACTGAACGCAGGCTCGCGTTTACGTCAGTGTTGCCATGGCAGCACGATAAATTTAATTTTTATTATATTTTTTGTACAACACGCCAAAAATAGTTGAAAGATTATTGCTTTTAACTAGTATATAACAATGAATTTCAGAAATATGTACTGTAGGTATGTTGTTCTGCATCAGTTGTGAGCTTTGATTTAATGTAAAATTTAACGTGAATCGCTTCGTAAAATGTTTTGAAATGTTCATTTTAATATTAAACTATAAACTGCTTTTTCCGATGTAAAACTGTACGGGTTTTTAGTTTATAAAAAAAATAAGTTCAAATTCTTGAGTAATCTCTGTCCTGTATTCAAATGAATTTGCTCTCCTTCACATTTTACCTTTTATTCTTAAATTAAACAGGGTAATTTAGCAAACTTTAATTCAGCTCCATTGAAAAGGAAAGCATGTTTTACGCAATAACTTAAAGCAACACAATTCATGAACATTAAACATTCAAAGCAAACTTGCCCTATATTTCACGATTTTCCACAGTAAATCAATTCTTCTCATTTCTTCAAACAGGAATTGCTTCAATGCTCATTGTGTGAAATGTGATTTTCCAAATATATGCCTTTGAAAATTGAAATCTTGTTTAACCCACTCCTGGCAAACAGCCATATTTTTTAGATCAGCGAGGATTCCCACCCACGGTTGGTGACCTACGCCTGCGATCATTGATGAACTTTAGACTTCGCTGTAATGCTTCCCTTCCCCGGGTGTAAATAGCCGAGGGGAATTAGTACCCTCGCACGGCGCTTCGCGCTGTCGGCTCGGGGATAAGAAATATTATTATATTACCTGTTGGTGAGAGATAAAATGGAATAAACACACCAGCTTGAAGCTGTAATTAGAGATTGAAAATTGAATAAGTTGTGCACATTATAGATTAATTATTAACAAATTAAATGCTCGGTTACTGCAATTTGATTCAGTTCATTTTGTTTGTGGGTGATTGAGTATTTGACCTTTCTGTTCGGATAAGGAAATTGAAATATGTACTTACATATTTTGGTTCATGGTAGCTGTAAGATGGATGTGAAACAAAATTCTTCAAATTTTTTTCTTTTGTTTCGTTGTTCATCTGGCATGTCAATTTTCTATGGCTTCTTTTCTTTCCAACGTTAACTGATCGACATTGGTCGCTTCTACCAACACACAAATGAGCACATTCCATTTCACTGGCAACATCCTTCTCGGAAAACATGAAGTGTTCAAGGCGGTAATCTGATAAATATTCGAAAGATGTGCTTTACACTTCACATGTTTAAACTAGAATGCTGGGTTTGGTGGAAAAGTGAGCATATATATTAAGACCTGTATAACTAGCAGCGGTTCAGAAAAATGCAACACTATGTCCATGGCAGGAATCGAACCTGCGGCTCTCAGTGCGAATCTCAAATGCACCTACTATTTGTTCTATCCAATTGAAAAAACATGATTGTGACAATTAAATTGGAATGTTGGCAGTATTTCAGATGATAAATGTTTACTAATTTTACAAAGGTATCCAAAGTCAGTCTCTCGTTTCTGATCATTCTCTCCGATCCCGCTTAATACTTTGTCCCTTGCGTACACTTTGGAACCCTTCACTTTGGAAAACTTCAACCGGACGATTCGACATTTCATGAACATTTCGATTATATTCTTTTTAACAGTCACAAATAGAACTGCGGTGAATAGATAAATTATGCCGGAAGGTGCATGAAGTTCATGCATGGATGAAAATAAAGCAGCTGATAAGACAAACATTCATTTTTTGTCAGTTCTACTGCATGGGTTAAGGATAAATTATGGATGGAAGCTAAGATGAAAGAATAATTTATGTTGGATGATATAATAAACCCGCTAATAAGACAAAGTTAAAAAACTGTTGCGCCTAATGTTTGTATTTTAAAAATCAATGCATAATTAACGTATAGACGAAATATTATAAATGTTCTCTCAGGGGATGTAGGTGAAAATGTTTGGGTCGGTACTTCTAAACGATAACAATAGAATGTATGTTTTACACATATATCTCCCCCCGTCTTGTACGACAACGGTCGCATTGAATAGGTTATTTTGGCATTTCTTTTTTAAACAACGCTTTCGATATTTATTAGCACACATGCAAGAAAAGTGACAACTGGTCTTAAAAGAAACTAATTTCGTAACCGATACTAAAAACTAACCGTTTAAAACTTTATACTTTTGGGCAAAAGGAGAAGACATATGCATATATGGACTATACTCCGATGAATGTAAACACAAAGATGAAAGAAAAACAAGATAGAATTCCAATAGCAGATACTTATACATGCGCTGTATAAAGCTGCGCCACATGAAGTCTCAAAATTCTGGATTAAGTTAAATATCACTATATATCTCTCCCTCCTTCATACTGAATAGCGACCTCAGGGAACGCGGCGGCGACGTTAATAAACTCGTTAAACTAAATGATTGCAGCAGAAAACCTGTCGTCTATTATCCATCGCATGAATATAATACAATTTATAGGATCAAGATTAACGCAGGGTTTGTGATTGAGAAAAATTCTAGGACCCAGTTGAAAGTATAGCACTTGTCCAAGCTTGATACAGTATGTACAGTATGTGTACTACAGACAAGAGTTCATAATCTGTATTTGGCCGTTGTAAACAGAGCAGGGCGACGTCTAAAACGTCCGTGAGATTTTAATTATTAATTTCTGCTCATTTTCTTGTGTTAATATGATATTAATAATAGCCGTCCTCGTTCCATTTTTATCCTGCTTGTTGAAATTCTTAATAACAGTAGTTCTTTATAATTTTAAAAGTGTAAAATTTATTAATTAAGGCTGTTTTTGTCACTTCCCCGCGTACTATAGATTAAGTCTTGCTTAATTTTGCTAATGCCGGACGTTATAGTCAGAAGGGAATCGCATTTATATGCAGTACAAAAAATCAGTGTATAAAAAACGATATCGTTTATATAATAAAATTCTACTTACTTTCTGAAGAAAACAGAAGCACATTTCTTGTGCCACCTGCTAGCGCTAGAGAGCAACAGCTAAAAAAGAGCATGAATACCAGGAACAAGCATACAATAGAACGATGGAATTGAGCAGTCACAATGATCCTGTCAAGAAATAGTGCCAATTTTTTTCCATTAGGAATCGCCATCAGTAGTTTTTCAATCATATTTTCATAAGAAAACTCGTACTAAGATGACATAAGAAAAAGCCGAAAAGGCCGCTGCTGCATGAGAACTGATCGCGTATATGCAATTATAATCTACTAGAAAGTTCTTTTAATTATTAATCTTTTTAAAATTTCATTAATAATTCATTGTAACAGGTCACGTGTAGTGGCGTAATTTAAATTGAAATGGCCGTGTTCAATATCGGACATATTTTTGTTTATAGTGTGGTTGAAAGAAAAATGAATGCAAACACGCTAAAATCGATTAACGACTGGCGGGTGTTGGCAGTCCAAATTTTCTCAATTATAGAATTATACGTTGAGCAATAAGCTTCAAATTTCTGATGGAGTATTTCACATAAACGCTTTCGTGTTCGCTCGATTTTATTATAAGTATCGCAATATCAATGAAAACGATAATAACATTTTAATGACACTCACTTTGTGTTATTGATTCCAAATATGGCAATATTAATTAACAAGGGCCGCGGTGTAGCAAAGTTGTCGCTATACAGTAGAGGAGTTGCTGGAATAAATTTAATCCGAGTGAATTATTTAATCCGGTATAAAAAGCTTGGATAGCATTAACCAGCGCATAAAAATCCAAGGTCCACAAGTAGTTTACGTCCACTATCCAAAGGACAAATCCACAGTTTCAACTTTCAAGTAAATATTAATTTTAGATGAAAGAAGGACGAATTACGACATAAATGGGACAATGTTGATTAGATTGATTCATCTTTTAAATGTAATAGACATGTAAAAGTTACATTTGATCAGGCACAAACGCGAAACTGACCGCTATGTATAGCTGACGCAATAAATTGAATTACAGAGTCTATAAACTAACTGTAAAATGCAGTATTTACAACATAAACATATTACTCACTACTAAAAATTGTAATACCTATTTAAATTCGATAATTCTCAAAATTTTAAGAGTAGTCTATCTAACACTGTTATACTTTTAGAATTGTTTTGGCTTTTGTTAACTTTATTTAATAATGCTACTCTATGGAAAATTAAACAGCCGAAAATTGCTCAGAAAAGTGACGTGACCACTGTTGCTATGGCAGCAATGATGATTCAAGATGGCCGATATTTTGGCTTTGAACGCATTTTACTTTAAAAAAGGTAGGTTACAGAATTATGCAAATTATAGTGTTTGCAGTTTTTTTTATACACCCTGTAGTTTTCGAAGTAACGTGGCTTTAATTTGACGTCCTTGGATGCAAGTACGTTTTGCATGCTCCATGACCATGTTGTTCGATATTCAGTTCTTAAACGATCGACTTCACTTCAGTAAAAAGAAAGGCAATTTGGCGAAGAAGTATATTCAAGCGAAATAAAATATCAGCTAAGCACATTACTTTACTCTTTCTTTAGCCTGGTTCACATATATGCCTGCGGTATACCTGCGCTATCAAGAAAATGTTTTCTGAAATAAAAAATGAGGGTAACCGACCTTTTTTTAAAGTAAAATGCGTTCAAAGCCAAAATATCGGCCATCTTGAACCGTCATTGTTGCCATAGCAACAGTGGTCACGTCACTTTTCTGAGCAATTTTCGACTGTTTGATTGTCGCTGTATATATAACATACAAATTTCGATTTGTGAAGAGCATCATCTCTTCAAAAAAGTGATCTACTTTACGCATTTTCAACATTTCTATAAACTGTAGCGAGCCACCTTAAGTGCTTGCACGTATAGCACGCAATTTCCAGGATTTTGGTTCAACTTTTCTTTGCAGTTTTCGTTCCAGTCTGTCGTCTCACAAGTTTGTGAGCGAAACTTTCATGGCATGTTGGACAACGAGTTCTGGAGAAGAAGAGAGAAGAAAATATAATACATTAAGAGTTTTTTCACCTATATAATTCAATGTCGTACTCATATACATCATACTTATATATCCGTATTTTCAGTTTATTATTACTCGTCGAAAAACAAACAGGGTTTTTTCATATAAATAATTTCAATTTGTCACAAAAATAGCGCAACTGCTATTGCTATATTAACAATTATGTTTCAATTAATATTGCTGACATTTGGCTTCAAAGTAAATTAACTCGAAAAATAGTTTGATGATCCTCATTGACTTACCACACAGTGTATTTTGTCTCCGAGCGGACGGCGCGAAGCGCCGTGCGAGGGTACTAATTCCGCCTGGCTATTTACACCAAGGAAAGGAATGCACTAGCGAAGTCTAAAGTTCATCAAATATCATGGGCGCATGGCTCACCGTTCATGGGTGGTCATCCTCACTGATCTCAAAATATGTAGCGGACTGTCGTGAATAGTGAACATTGATTGGTCAAATTTGAAATTTGCATTATAACGACTGCATTGACGACAGCGAAATAACAAACATTTCTTTCAAGTTGTATTTAAGTATTTTTGCAAGATTTTGTAAATTTCAAAAACTTTCTGAGAGCACAAAAAACGTCTAAAAACTTTTAAAAGAATGGAGCAAAGTCGCCGACGTTAATGAAGGTAAATTTGTTGTAAATATTGATGTATTGTTTGTTTTATAATTGATATATTAATAACTGATAGTAGTGGGCGATACTGCGAATATAGAACTGATACACTATTGTTGCGCTTGTCGTTGCCGTTGCGCATATAAGTGAAAAATTAAAGACAGCATATAATTTCAGTGTAGTTTTATTAATTACCCTTTCTTTTGTATCTTAAAATATTTAAATAAAGAGGAAAGCAAAGCTATTTTCATGCGAGTATTTGAAATCAGTTTATTTCAAACTCAATGTTTACCGATAACTCGATAAAAGGCCGTTTAGTTCTAAGAACATTTTAAAACGTTTTGCAAAGCATTTGTGGTTGAATTTTTCAATTAAGTTGAAGCTTATATTACGCATAATAACATACCTAGCATATATATGTTTGGGAAATTGATAATTTTGTTATTAAAAGTGATATTTTGAGAAGATTTTTCAATTTTAAAACTATTCTTAAAATTATCGTGTTACCATAACAACTACTTTCCAACTCTTCATTTTCCGAAAACATAATGTTTTATCAGTAAGGCAAGGGTTTCTGGATGCATGTATTTTCTAGTTAAGTATTGATGTTTGTGTGTTTGTATTATCGGACGTGTTTTCTATTTTATTCTGTTTCAACTCTTTCTGAAGAATTGTGTATAATTGAGTTTGGTCACGAACAGCACTACTTTGAATTCCAATTTATCGAGGGCCGTCGCTGTGGGAGAAGGGGGGTGACACCACCCACTGAAAGCATCTTGTCGGAAAAATGAAGGATTTTGTCGTAGATTTCTACATTGTTCGACTAATCGAATTTGACCTCCCCACCCAACCTCAACCCCGTCGACACATATAGCCTATATCGGAAAATTGTTGGCAATATATGTGTTTTAACTTTTGTCGCCAAATACAATACCACAACAAAAAAAAATTAATCCTTTTCGCGATTGCCCTTAATCCTCTCCCCAATAGCCCTGAGTCTATTTCCATTGACTGCAAAATTTTGTTGTGAGGAAATTATATGTGCAAATATTTTAAACGATCAATGGACTTACATTCCGCTCCGAATCATCTGAATGGCGCATTCTTTGTGAACTTTGTGGGAACATGGAAGAATCTGGCAGCCCGTGAATGCGTCCTGTAGAAAACAGTCAAAACAAATTATGTTGACAAATTAAAAATTAATTTCGGAAGGATTCTGAGGGATTACTGCATTAAACCGACCTAAAAAAAACTATCAAGGCCCTTTGAGCCACGACTAATCGTCTGGAATACAGTGAATAACAACGAAAAACCTTGAAAAGTCGGAGTTCGTGTGATATTTATATGCACGTTTGATCCTGTAATCCTTCAAGTTTCCGATACACTGGAGCATCATATTAGTTAATCATTCTGTCGCAAACAATTTGATCTTGCATTGAAATAAGATTATGTATTCACCTCCGAACAGATGCAACATTCATCATGGGCGGAATCAGGACGACATTTATGATTTCCACGAAGTTGAACATCAAGACAAACACCACATACATCACAATGAAACGATCGATCTCCATGAATCCTAGAAAATAAACGCGACTCGATCATAATTCTGACAAGATAAAGATTGTATTTGTACAGCAAAAATATTCGCTACCTTAATTCCCCACTTTTTCCTAGTACACTTTGGATGGAAAATGTAGCCTACGTTCTATAATTTTATGTCAAATTCTTACCTGCAAATGCCACATTTATCGCAATGATAGGGGTAATCATCATTTCCAGTAAGATGTTTGCACAGTCCACAGTAGAAATTAGCGAATTTAGTGTTACACGAAACACAAAATTGACCATTTTTACCAAACTAGAAAGAAAAAGCGAAAGAATTACAGCTTATAAATCGTCCAATATCAATATATTATTATCCGACCAAGAAATAGCTTACCATTTTTCGCACACAAAGTAAATCCAAAAATAATACTTTGGACTTGCTAACAAACACAGCTTTCAGGATACGAGCAATTTTTCTTAACAAAGAGGCTTTAATGTATTTCGTTTCAATTGGTTTACAAGTCTAAGAAACCGCTTTCTCTTTAAATTATTCAATTATTACCATGTCACTAGATAACTTCTGCTGTTGCACATCGGCACTGTACTAAAGAAATCACAAATATGTGTAAACAACTTTATCATCTTGTTCGTTACCTGCTGTTCTTTTCCGCATTCGACACACTTGAGCATCGTCGTATCACGTGATTTTAGTTTCGTACGCCCACACGAGCTCTCGCTGTTATGACAACGGTGGCATGGCCAGTATTTATTGCAGCATTCGAATTTCACCAAGCACCTTCTTTTGTAATGATTACATAGCCAATTGTCTTCATCACCGTTTCCTGATCCCTCGAATTGATCATCTGGTTGGCATTGAAAAGTACCATGGCATTGAGAAGAAGCAGCATCATTCTGGGCGTCATGATTTTGAGATGATGGCTGTCGTGCATTCGGCATCTCCATTCCATTGATTTTTCTTGTAGTCACTGGAGTATCCGTTAGACTCATTCTGTTCTCATCACTTGGGTTTCCTAAATTGGTTAAATGCACAAAACGGTTATAATCAATTAGCCTTTCTCACGCCGCCATTTTTGTGTGGTTTTTCAGCCGATGTCTGCGAGATAAATTCACATAACAGCGAATTTTTATAATTATTTGGACGAATGGTGGTAAATTTGCTTTGTATACGTAAACGGTTAGTTTATTTTGAAAAATTGCTTTTCACATGCTTTTTAATTGTCTGCATTGGTTAACGAGAACTACAATCCTGGTCAAATATTTTGGCGCACTTGACACAGACTGGGCGAAATTTGATTCTCATTTCAATAACAAGCATAGCAACCCCCCTTTCCCCCGTTCAATGTTGTTTGATGTGTGTTAGACGTCCAAGGTGTTACACAACATTGATAAGGGAGATAGGGGGTGTTTGGACATGAAATTTTGCATCAATTGAGCAAGTATTTATATGGTAATCAGAAATGAAGTAAAGCTGATGCTATTTAGATTAAGTGCGCCAAGGATATTTGACCAGGATTGTAGATGCCACCAAAAAATGGCGGATATTCGTCGTCGTGAGAAAGGCTAATTCAAATTAATTTTATATACTGCATGTATTCATTTTTTTTCCGAGTTCCAAAAAAGTTGCGGGTATGGGGGCACCACCGCGAGGAAGGTTTACCTGCATATGTGAGGTCAGTGAGGAAGGTTTTTATAACGATCTTAAGCAGACAAAGTTCTTGCCAACAGCAACGTTATAGATTGTCGAGGGGATACTGGATTAAAAACTGTCAGTTTGTGGTAATCTACAGCAGATCTGACAAAACATAAGATTTTTAAAGTGTTTTGCTTCCTTACACGAGCGGCATGATGCAAAATTCCGCCAAAATTAGTTATACCAATTTTTGGGTGACATCCGTACTCGTGTTGACAAAGACGTCGTTTTCTTAATCTCACTAATGTGGAACACTCTATACTCAAAACTAGCTGATACTTGACAAATCGAGGTTTGGCAGAATGCTGATATTGTATCGATTCTGTAGTTATGTGGTACACATTTCCTAACGCTGTCGCATGACAACAGTAACTTTCTAGGGAGCCGGTTTCTGTAGCAATCGTTGCATATCAGCATATACATCGTCTAGCAGTCGCCAGCATGACCCTTTTGTCTATATGAGAGTACATTGCAATCAAGCAGCTGATCAATGCTAATTAAATATACTAGTTAGAATAAGAAACTGATTTTGAAAGACATAATTATATATTTTCCAATTTCAAAAAGCCATAACTAACATTATTTTGTGGCCTAGAAGGTTTGAAAATTTGAATGTTACTCGAAGGAAGGTTGAACGCTTTTTGAAACTCTGAGTTTCTTATTCGTTAAACCGAAACAAATGTGGAGGAAAGATGGGTTAACGTGTGGTAATATATCCGCAGTCGTAAAAATTTCGCCAACGTTTCTGAAAGAGTTTACAACCTTCATATTAACTTTGTGGAAATAGAAGTATATATATTTTTGAAGGTCAAATATATTCAGTCAGGAATAGCATATAACATATCGGTGACACATATTGATTTCAATGGATCATTTGCATTATAGACTAAATTTTGGTCTAAACAAGTCTAGACAAAAATTTCATCACAGCTTGAAAGAGCATCACAAAATTAGTAATATTCCAAAGTTTCGTTGCGAAATGTTGTAAAGTGCGGATAATATAGGTGAGGTCAGTGAGGAAGGTTTAGTGGCCAATGGTCGCTAACACCAAAAGAGTAAAACAAATAAATCAAGGTTGAATAAGGCAGTTGAGGCTGACAAGTTGTGGTGGCACTATTGTGATATACAGTAGTACATACCTACAGTATACCAGATGACTATGACATTGGAGAGTACTGAGAAGACAAATTACTGAAAATATTCTGTAAAATTAAAACGTGTAAGTGTCTAGTATCAGAGGTGCCTTAGGCCACATAAAATAACTTGCTGGATTCTCATCACAGCCCAACTGTGTTTTAAGAGCTGTGTTAAATTTTTTTATATTTTGTTACACAATATAAATGTATCGCCCGACAAAATATTTCAAGACAGTTAAGGTATTTTATATTTTATATTGGGAGTTTTAGTGCCATTTTAAACTGCCAATTCAAACAAGCAGAAAGTTGAAAGAAATTTCATTGCATTTTACAGGAACTTTGCACTTAGTTCAAGGAGATATGTTGGAAATGACAGAAATGTGTACTGTAATATGTTTATTTTGGTTTTTGACACTTCACTTCAGAACTCTCAGAAATATTAAATGTTAGGAATTTTTTATTTAATGAAATAAACCATCAATGTTGTAGCAACTAAACATTGTAATAATTATATAAATATGGCATTATAAACAAAGTTGAGGAAGATATTTTAGCATGTGTGATGTAGAGCTTAATTACTGAGTTGTGTATAGCTGTCATACATATTTAATACAGATCGACGGAATATATCGAGGTCCTATAATCGAAATCATTATTTACATATCTGATACCTACACAGTCAATTCCCACAAACTATAAGATAACCATAAATATATTGCAGGATTGGTAGCGTCTGGTATAGAGGTATATTGCCATTGCATTGATTTTTAACCACTCCAAACATTGCCATAAACTGCCATGCAGGGCACTATCTACGTCATACTGCTTTGTTTAAATTTAGCACTTTGCCTCAGAAACAAGTGAGAGCATTCGCTGCCTCACTGATTGTGAAATTGGGCGATTGGGTCACACTTCTGAGGATCTGAACACTCTCAAATGCCTTTCAAAAGCGCATGCAAGTACAGTAATATCATTTTTTAATATTATTTTATATTCAATATATGATATAGGATGTAGACGTAGTAGGTACGGACTGTCCACTTTGTCCAAAGTATAAATCTATTATGGCAAATTTATATATTAGAATCGTGTACTGTGTGTTATATGCTTTCAGAATCAGTTAAGATTATACAGGGTGTATAAAAAAAAAAACGCAATCCTCGACTGAAATGTAAATTGCTAAACAAATAATAGACGAAAACGTTAAAGTTTACATTCATTTTAAAGCGTAGCCATTCAGCTTTTTAACAGTGCATGGGTTGTTTCTTAAATTTGACTCATTGGTTCGCGGGTAATAATAATATACGTTATTGCGATTGGAGATTAAAAAAATTGAGAAGGAATAACAAATCGTTCTCATGAAAATAACTGATGTTTTCATTAAAACAAACAAATGTTGCATTTTATTAAATGGATTGTAACAATAAGTATAATTACGGCTTTTCTCCCACTATTTTTAACACAGTTTGAAACTTCAAATGCGATATAATTTTGGCTTGGACCATCTAAGCTGACTGACATCAGCTTGCTATAATTTCTGTTTACATTACATCGCAATTCGATGACACTCTGGCTCAGACACAAGAATGTTTTGATTCTATGATTTTTAGCGTTCGTTTGGGATTTTCAAACAACCTGGTCTCTTTTAAAATACTTTTAATTTGTTCTTACGTGGTTTTCCAGATGTAATGACGACAACACTAAAGTTTAAAGAAGAAAATTCTAACATTTAAACCGACTAAACAATAACATAGTAGACTTGCATAATTAAACAGCAACTAAAAATGATAGGTTTTACTAAATCTTTTCCTGTGCAATCATTACTAGCATTGGAGACAAAGATAATAGTTTGTTTGAAAGAGAAAAGAACAGGCTTTGAAGTAAGCCAAAATGCGTTTAACTAGAAATAGTATTTCGAAAGTTATTAAGCACAAAAATGAATTGCGTTTATTTTGATACACCCTGTATACTCTAGTATATTGCTATTTGATCAAGCCGTATCTATTTAGTTTATTTTGAGGAAGGTTTGAAAACTTTAAATTTTACCCGGAGAAAATTTGAACAGATTTTGCAACCCTGAATATAGCCTTGCAAAATTTGCAATTTTCAGTCATTTTGTATTACAAACGGGAAATTGATGCCCCAACACCCGATTGGGCTGTCAATTTCCCGTGCGTAACACGAAATGGCTGAAAAACGGCAAACTTCGCAAGGCTATATTATCCGCATCTCACAACATTTCGCAACGAAACTTTGGAATATTACTAATTTTGTGATGTTCTTTGAAGCTGTGATGAAATTTTTGTCTAGATCAAAATTTAGTCTATAATGCAAATGGTCCATTGTAACGATTTTTTAGTCAACAAAATAAATATAATCCCCAAACAATGCACTTAACGCGTGGCATAGATACCATGGCAACACGAATGCACGTTCATTGTTTTTAATTATTTTTTTTTTTCAATTTCTAAATTATATAAATAGGTATGTTATTTTTCCTCCATAAGCTTAAATATAAGGTAATATTCACTCTTGAACGCTTCACGAAATGTTCATTTAACTTTGCATTATATTTGCTGTTTCAATTGTTCAATTTCACATTGTGTTGTGAGTACCTTAGATTTTAAAAATTTCCCATTAGATAGCATATCTGAGAGTGACCGAGTTGCGATATTTACATAAACATACCATGCCTGTACTTTAAGGAATACTAAGTCTATCTACAGTATAACCAAAAATCTGATTCAGCAAACGCAGGAAATGCAATCCTAGGGGTGCGTCCAGACCCTCTCCCATTCCTACTATTGGATGTGACATCACACCAAACCTTTCTGCACTTATTTGTAATTTTACCGAAATAGATATAAAAATTAATGTCTATTGTGAAGGGTAGAACAGATTTCGGGAATGGCATAATTATCAGAAAAAAATATTGATTGGAACTAAAGATTTTTAAACACTGGAAAATTAAAATAGTTTGTTTACCAACCTCTTGTGTTTTTAACTGCAGGATCATCAGGAATATCTTCTGAATTTTCATGCGTTGAAAATCTATTACAACTTACAATAGTATTGCTGGTGCTGGTAGAATTTAAACGAACACTATCAGTACATTGGCGATTCCTGGCAATGAATACGCCATTGTTCTTGTCAGCTGTGCTAGGTCGTTGTAATTCTTGAACAATGTTTATATCCCGGTTAACGGGATTGGGCTTTAGCGAAGATCCTTGAGTCTTATTGAGTGGTAGAAGAACGCCAGATGAGTGTACTCGATTTAAATTGGTCACTCGTTCGTAAATATTGTTTCTCGACTCATGCTGTTTGATCAACTGTTTCAACTTAGCATAGTCACCATTATAAAATTCATCGATAAGGTATACCAGATCATATCTGGAAATTGACTCCAAGAATGCACGGAGCGGACTTAAATCCAGTATATTGATAGCACTTTTCTGGTCCAATTGTAAAATAACTTTCTCTGCACTTAGATCAGTGTCGACTGAGAACTTTTCATCCGCCCATTCTTTAAGCTTGATAATATCGCTGTTTGGCAACCTATCGGATATTGTTATTAATAATAGTCTGTAAACGTTGTAGACATGGGAACTAACTGAAGAAGAAGGTTCATTTATGAGACCTAACGGCTCTGCATTACTTCTTTCTTCTACTTCAATAGGGAACCGCGTTGAATCAAGTGAAGAATCAAAGCTTTCATGCTTCCCTTGGTTCTGATTTTGAGCTTCAAATTCTTTGCTTTCGGTATCGGCTTGACATGCATTTACCACCAATTCTCCATCCTCGCCTACAGATTGCTTTCCTGATGAAAACGACAAGTGCAAAACAGCCAATGGTTTCTTTTCCTCCTCGGACTGAACGTCGCTCGGCTGAACGTCAGAATTTATGGTTGAACTGGGACTAAAATGAGGCGAACTATTACCTTCCATGTTAACAACTAACGATGCCGATGGCTTTGGAGAAAATAGTTTTTGCAACGTCTCGCTTTCCTTCCCTAAGTTCGTTTTGGAATCGCTCTCAACGGAAAGTGTTTCAAGCTCTAGTAATGTATCTTTGTATTCTTTTTCCAAATTTCCATATCTATCTTTCAACTGCTGTAGTTTGTTTTCTATCGATATACATTCTTCAAAAAGTTTTCGTTTCTCCATTTCAAGCCTTTCACATTCTATTTTTATTTCTTTTATCAACTCATCCTTTTCCTGTAATTGCTGCCTCAACGCCAGATTTTCCTTCTCTAGTAAAGCATAGATTCTTTGCCCAACTGTTTTAACATGTATTACGAAAATAATAGGACCGGACGGTAATTGTAAACATAAATGGATTTCCATAATGTGATAAACCTAAATTAAAGGAACACAATGGTAAAGTGAATGCAGAAACTGTACGATTTGTTCCGTGCATGCCAGGGCCTCTTTTAAGAATTTGTCAGGAGGGGCCGTCAAGAGAAAGGGAACCAACTAGGAGGTGGTGAACGGGAAAAGTGGGAACTTGTCTGGCCCAGAAATACTTTATATATTAAATTAAGTGCGTGGTGCTTGATTTTCGGCATTTTTAGACACAATTTTTTTATATATTTCATCTGCTAGACAAAGAATTGGTCATGGGAATACTAAAATACTCTTCTTAACTAAGTAGTATCCTTCCCTTTTTTTGTAATATTGTAGACAGAAGAGACCTTCACTGGGGGTTGGGGACAGCATGGTTCACTGGAGGGGCCATGCAAACAGAACCTGCGGTGGGGACAAGTCCCCCAAATATATTATGGTATTAAAAAGGGCCCTGGTGCATGCAACTGTCATGCAGGATAGCTGAATCAAAACAAACGACGTATTTCACTTCAAGGTTCGTATAAAGGGTGTTAGCAACGAAATTTAAGTACGTTTAGAGTGAAAGAACTCTTTAAAATGTAAAATAAAGCATTTTACAAGAGTTTTTATATTTTTCTTTGGTTAGGTGATATTTCAGTTCGTTTGATAGGTAAATCAGATGATGTCATGCTCTGTTCACAATGCTCCTTTAAAACTTAATATTATTTTTGTATGTAAGATTGGTCGTTTCAATAATTGATATAGATCGGAATAATATGATCTATTGTGAACAGTGAACTTTATGACTTTGGCGTGACTGCCATCCTTGCAAATATATTACCAGCTTGTGACGTCATATATAGATTTATTACATTTCATATCAAACAAACAAAAATTTCTCAAGAATGAAAAGAGGTAAAGAAAAGTTGTAAAATTACTTATTTCACAGTGTAACGAGTTCTCCTTTTCCAAACAGGTTTATTAATAAATTCCTTTGCTCTTACTCTATAAACAATCTTTTGGTGTGAATTTTTTTTAAAATTAATTCCACATTCACATGATTTCAGAAATCATCGAAAAAAGGCTAAGAAAATACGATAAATGGAATAATAAAATTAACGATAAATTTTAAGTCGCTCTTTTTCCATGGGTGATAAATACTAAATATTGAACTTTTTAGAGCCGCCCCAATCGCAAGGCCTTTATTTCCCTCCGCCTTCATCTAGAAAGTTTAGGACCTCCCCCAAACATTAAATTTGGTACAGTTATTGGTGTAAAATAGGTAATGGGACATGTACTGGTGTAAGACATTGTGTAGCCTAATTAATTGGAGAACCATACATGTAGTATTCAAAATGGTTGTTATTTACTCCAAATCCTATGGTGAACTGCATATGCGTAATAAAGTATGGAAACTATGATTATAGGAACTAAAGAAGGTGAACATTGTCACATATTTTTTTCAGTTTGACGCCCACAAATTCGAAAAAAAAAATATTTTAAGCATAGCTCAAGAAAAATGGTTATCAACAAAATCTACTTAAATAGGCCAACTAAAATCGCATCGTGTGCGCTAGGCTTTATTTTGTGTCTTATAGGCTATAGTTTTAATATAATTAGTAAGGTATAGTCTAGGAGCAACCTTTCATATACCCTAACAGTGTCTTACAATTACGTGGACATCGCGAACGCAAAATTGCGTAATTGTGTGATGTTCTGTCGGATTGCCATGCATGAATTTAGGTTAACCGGTATAGTTGCGCGAGGGTGCTTGAAGCTAGGTACATATATACTTGATTAACGGAACTATATGCGTAGTCGTAGATATGCCAAGTCATCGCTGAGTCAGCTTATGACGTATGTTTCTAACTGGGTGTAGCACAATGATAGAGCATTCTAATAATACACCTTGTAATTGCAAGTTATACACAACATATTACAATAAAGTTATTTCACCAAATTTATTGAAACCGGAGTATACTTTAAAGTTACTTGTATATAGCCTACATAATATATATGATTTCCAACGGAAAACATTAAACCAACGCAGATTCCACACTCGTGTATAAAATTACTCATGCCAAGCTCTGGTCATTCTGTTACTAAAGTAGTAACACGAAAGAGACTTTTTATTTAACAGTGAAGTCAACACAAAGTTCTAAAAAATTTATCTTTCCAAGCATGCAATATATGGTGGAGTGTCAACTTGCTTTCCAAATTAAATTTTATCAACGGGCATCAAACGATTTAGGCGTCCCTTATACAGATATTCTCTCCACTTTGTCTATGACCTTTCGCTATATATATTATATACTATGAAGAGTTCGCCGTCTAAACCGGGCCTATGTGATATCTAATCAAATTAGGTAGGGGACAAGTTTGGCAAGCGATTTAGATGTCAGACTTATTATTATTGTACCGTACCAAAATATACACTATATCAGAAATTTCATAGCCTGCTCACAGACGTTGTAGTTCTTACGCCAAGCGACGAAATACTACCGTCTGCTTACCCGAGCTGCATATTCAATTCCCTTTGTTTTAGGAGCCAATCATCTGGCAGTGTTCAAAACGTTAGAGCCAATTGGAAGCCGCCTTATTGAGAGATTAGCTACTGGGGAAACCCCTTGCACATGCATTAGAATATATTGTTGGGTTGAAACTTGAAATTTGTTTACTTGCGTGGATATATTTTGGAAACTATAGCGTTGAACTTCACCATGTTTACGTAGA